TAATATGAGAATGAACATGTACGTATTTAAATTCAAATAAGGAACATTTGTTTAAATATCAGTAAACATTCATTAATAGGTGAATGATTATAAACAAAACTAGGGTAAGTATATCTAAGGTAATATTGTTAATGATTATGTACTTATATCATAATGAACAACTATCAAAATGAAAATAATTATTTACCGAAAAGTCATTTTCAATATAAAAACTAATTTAAATCTTAGTTTTCTATGAAAACACAAATAATCAAGAAAATTAGCAAAAACAATAACCAAATTATATTTATGAATATATTTTCCAAGTGAATTTTATCTTTCAATATGATAATGAACATTAACATACGAACAAACATCTAATAAAATTCTAATGATAATTTGATTTATTAATATGTGAATGAACATATATTCATATTATAATGATTATTAATCAAAATGAGAATGAACATTTATCAAAAAATAATTTTCACTATAAATTAAATTAAATTCCAAATAATACAAACTCATGCCAAAATTACTTGGATCTTTAGAAAAGAATTAAAGATGCATATATATAGAAATGAACTTTTTAAAAAATTCTGATGATGATATATTAATATGTGAATGATAATTTTTTTAGTATCGAGAATGAACATCTATCAAAATGAGAATGATCATTTTATCAAAAAGAAAAATTAAATCCTTAGTAATCCTACAAAATAACTCAATTAATCTAGAAAATTACAATTATCATTTTGAGTCCAATAATTTTATAATTCAAGAATATACCATACATTAATTCAACACAAATTAGAATTTCTATATTATGACATAATCCAACCCTAATTATATTACTTTCAATAATATATATATATATATATATATATATATGAACTTCAAAAATTCTTACCATCTTTTAGCTCTACAGAAGAAATTGAAGAAGAAGACAAATTTTACAACGAAAAATTTCTGGCGACAAATGTGACAAGATTTCGGTGACGCTTATAACAATGGAAAATTACAATCGATCGATTTGCAATCCTTTTGAAGTACTAGAAGAAGGACATGGTAGTTTGAGGAGAGAGGAAATGAAGAACTGTGGTCTTTGAACGTTTAGAGAGAGAAAATAAGAATTGTGGTCTTTGGAGAGAGAAAATAAAGATAGTATAATGAAGCAAGCTCCTGAAATCAGTAATATGAGTATATTTTGTGTAAAAAAGCTGGTCTATATATTTATGGTAGTGGGAGGAGTTTAATACATTGCGTTTAAGGGGGGTGTAGGTAGTGTTAGCTACACCTTGGTGTAGCTCTTACTAATTACCCTTACTTAAGTTTTGTTTTTTCCTAACTTTTCCCTTGGGTTTGGGCTTATTAATCAACTTTTACCATGGGTCGAATCCTAATGGCCCCTGCAAAATATCCATTGTATATTGTGTCAATTATTCTTAGAAAAAGGGAGTATATGGTTGAATATACACTCATAAATGCATTTATACTTTTCTATTTGACTAAAATAAAATTTTGTGAAAAAAACTTTCTCTCTCTAAAAAAAGAAAAAAGCTCTGCCTTCACTCCTCAAAACAGAGCCACACCCCCACCCCGTGATCTTCCACTGCCGTCGGTGACCTGAGCGTCGCTGCTCTTATAAGGTCGCCGGCGAGCAGTCTCTGAAGGGTTGCGCTTGATTAGACTTGTTTCACCTACCATCAATCCATACGATTGGGTTTTTTTCGAAGTTTTGGTAGGTTAGGGTTTCAATTGGGGGTTTCTTCTTCGGTATAGTTGGTGACTTATATCAAGGTTCGCAGGTAGTTCGGCGTTGTCTTTGAGCCATCGATTATCTCTTTGTCCCACCGACAAAGTGGAGTTCGGGTTTCCTTCATCGTCGGCCTGCTCTTTGTCTTGGAATGGTCTACCCTTTAGTGTAATTAAGGGATCGGAAAGCCTAGTTGTTTAATTAGTTTAGCTTTTGTCTTTGGGGTTTTAATAAGTGTGTTTAAGTTTTAATGGCTAGCTTTGTGGAATTAAGGGGGATGTTGTGTATTTCACATGTTGAAGAGAATGATGTCTCTTCTCATGGGTTGGAATTTTTAGTTCGACAATTGGAGAATCCTTTTGGTATTCTCAATTTTGTTAAGGGTTTAAAAGATGAGGGAAACATTCTCTACAAGCAAAACCAAATAGGGTCTGCTATTGCGAAATACTCTCTTACTCTAAAAATATTGTCCTTTGCTTCAGTTTGTAGTGATGAGGATATATTATTGTTTTCGAGTATAGCTGTGTCCCTTAATCTAAACTTAGGTGCTTGCTTCATCAAGGTTAAAGACTATGACAGAGTGGGTCAATTATGTTTAGCGGTTTTATGTTTTGATACTACTAATGTGAAAGCTTACTTCAGAAGAGCGATTGCAGCGTTAGAGCTTAATAAACCTTCTTTAGCTTTCATGGATCTTGCACAAGCCCTTAAATTAGATCCTAAAAACACTGAGTTCCAACAAAAACTAAAGGAGGTGATATCCTTATTGGGTTGGACTCCAGATTTCGTTGACGAGGCACTTGCAGTAACAAGGGATAATGATAGGTTTAGAGATTATGCTCATTCGGGGAAAGAAGATAATAGTAAGAAGTTAAGAAAAAAAGGGAAAAGAAAGGTAGAAGATGGTCGTGGTGATGGTAATGTCCGAAGGTGTATAGGTGTGACAGACAACACCAACATGGATAAGAATGTTGACGGCAATTCTTTGGATTTGGAGGGTAAAGTCAACCCTACCAACCAAGATCTTAGGCCCAACATTATTGATAACAATTGTGTCCTGAAGGAAACTTCAGAAACAAAAAACTCAAATCTGACAGGGTCAAGTTTTCGGTTCTCAAGCCGAAAGCGATATGATTCCTATTTGCATCTCACTCCAACAATGTATGGAGTGATTTCCAGAGGGAGAATAGTACAATACTATTGTTCTTCCCAAAAGAATTTCATTACCATCCGAGTAGCCAATCCTTCGAGAAAGATGGATAGTGGTGAAACTCAAGAAGGTTCTACACCAATGGAACTTAGTCACCCCCCTGTGGAAGGGCATGATAGGTGTGAAATGACTTCAATTCTGATACAAGTAGATCCAGCCATAGGTATGGCAAGTCAAGATTCATCATGTGAGGCTACGTCGACACTCCTACCACTTCCGTCAGTTTCTTCCCCTTTGCCGGCTTCCGTTCACCCAACAACGTCCTCCTCTGAAAATTTGTTGGGTTTTGTCTCGTCTCCCCGTCCCAGGTTTAGAAGGAAATACGCCACTCTGCAAAGTAGGTCTCTCGTGCTTTTTACTAACTCTTTCTTTTGCAGGTTAAGTGGCTCTAAGAGAATAGCTTCTGGTCCCATCTGGTATACTTGGTTTCCCAATCATAAGAAGTTGTATGGTCCGACCCCCAATGTTTTATCCTGTAATCTTGCTTTATGTACTTAGTTTAGGTTGTAATCTTGCTTTTCATTTATAGTACTCTTTGTCAAAATAAATAAATAAATAAATAAAATTTTGTGTCCTCGTTGCATCTTTTAAGGGATTCCAACAATCGAACGATGAATTTCTAGCTATAACGTTACAAAGTTTTTTCCTTTTGCTTTTGTTCAAGTATGCTAAGACTTAAGACACCAAAATTAGTAACATTCATTAGTCATTGCTTTGAGATTTAGTTTTATAAACTCTGCTTACATCACTGACATTTGGGTGAATAGTATTGGACGATCTTAAGTATTACCCTCCTAAATTGACACTTGTTCATACCATAATATTAATATAATTAGCCAAGTCATTTTAATTCTCGAAACATGGACTTAATTATATTATTATTATGGGCAGATGTGACATAATTAGACCATCAATTTCTAGTGGGTCACATGAGTAGGTGTAAGTGAAAGAATACTTGAACAGTACTCATTTTTGAGAGTCTTGTGCTTTAAAAATGTACCAAAATAGGAAGGGATAAAAAAAAAATTTAGCCTTTTGTTACCAATTAAGTATTGGCCTACTGATAAAAAAAAATACTCCCTTCATTTTTAAATATTTGCTCAATTTCTATTTTTTACATTATTTATTTGTTCTATTTTGACTCATATTTATAATATATATATAAGAAAAAATATAGTCTTTTTGGTACTTGTTGGAATCATCTCAATGAAAAAAAAATTTAATTTTTAATTTTTAGAATTTATATTTATTGATAGTTAAAGATATTATTGATCAAATATTAACATCGACATACGTGCCCATGAGAAATGGAGCAAGTATGTAAAAACGGAGGGGGTAACGTTTTAATCTTGAATAGATTCGATTTTCATTACTCTCTCTGTGTTTTTTTAAGTGACACGGTTTGACAGACACGTAGTTCTAGGAGATTTTATTGACTTTAATAAAATAAGATGTTAGTGGGGTAAGTTGGAGGAGTGAGAAATGATAAAGTAAAAGAATATGAGAGGAAGTGGGGACCATGAAAGGAGTGAGAAATAATAAAGTAAGAGATAGTGGAGTAAAGATATATTATTAAAATGTAAGGAATTTCTAAAAGAGTAAGTATGTCAAAAAAAAAAAAAAGTCGTTTAAGAAAAGTGTGTCACTTAAAAAAAGGGAGTATGACCACTTTAAAGGTGTAGATCCGCTTATTCTTCTTCAATTCCCCAGTTGCAAAATAATTAACTTGCTAACTCGAACAAGACTAACCTATTAAATAATCCAAATTAAAAAGAGTAACAGTTCATAAAGAAAAAGAAAAAAAAAATATTTTAATATAATTTCCGATTTGTTCATGCCACGTAGAACAAAAAGAAGTAGCTTGAGATAGAAGGCAACGGACATAAAAACACCAAAGGATGAAAAAGACTTTGTGAAAAACTGTGAAAGTGTGCATAAACTCGGCTCATTGGCTGGGATTCATCTTCTTTAACAAGGGAAAAAGGCGTAGAAGATGACATTTCACCAAAGTTACAAGAAAAATGTGATAAATATAATAATTCTAATGATTATTTTTTAAGGGAAAAGCATATAATAAATATTTCTTAGTAATAAATACTATAAAACCAATGAGAATAGTGATTTTTCTCTCATACTTCACCCTTGTCTAAGCAAACTATCCCTCTATCTTTCCCTTTTATTTCCATCCTCATGAAGTGCCTCACCTAATTTGGTGCCACACCCATTTCTCTCCTACATGGGGTGGCTACAATCCTTGTTATCTCCCTTGAAGAAACTATGGCTTCGCACTCATTCGGCTCAAAACAAGAGTAAGTCCATCTATCCTACAACTCAATCTTTTTCTAATAATGTACATGCTATTACATCTCTGTCTTGATTCAGCTGCCACGTTACTAGTCTTTTTAAGTGATTCTAGACATACCATGCATAACCATAAATTTAATGTACTTGTTCTCTCAATGTTATCATTTTGTACTAACATTTTTCGACTTGATCGTAAAATAGGAAGAGGGATATACATTTTGTATGAGGATGTGAAGTCTTGCCAATATGAAGATGTACATGTTTTGTGGTCGATACTAGTGGAATCGTCGTCGTCACATAAACCAGCAGCATTATTGCCATCTACACAAGCGAAGCTCCTATGCCCACCTCCTAAACAAGTTAATGAGAGAGGATAACACACAATCATATCATTTTGGTGGGTTTCCATTTGTACATAGGTTTTTTTTTTTTTTTTATTATAATTTAATGTGTTTTTGGTACATATTATAATATAATGTAAGCCTTTTTTCGGTTTGCAGTGTGAACATCAACTTAGATTGAATAAGAAGTTCCGTAATTTTGAAATTAAACACTTTCCCATCAAATGCTCCAAAGTTTGGATGTCTTTTTATTTAATTAAGTTGTGCATTTTATGCATAAAGAAGATCTTATCCGATCTAACTTATATTGTGATTAAAGATAACTTACCAATTTTTTGTTCAATCTAGATATTATTTATAATTTTTAAGTGTATATAAACTGCTTAAACGAGATAAGCTTGTTCTAGGTGGTTATACAAAACAATGTAGATGGTCAAAGTATATATAATATTGTTTTGATAATAAGTTTTTAGTTAATTGGTCAACATATAATGTTGTTTTGATGACAAGTTTTAAGGTAAATGTGTAACACTCCGTAGCATGTTATCTTCTTAATCGTATCACAAGCATATATAATTATACAAGCTTACAATGCGGACGTGAAGAAAAAATGAAACCCTTCTCTGCCTTCCAACAACAAAAAAGAAGTCCAATTTGCAATAGATGGGAAGGAACATTTTTTAAGCGACCAACTTATAATTTTAGGTTTTCACGTTGTTAGTTTGTCGGTTTCAACGGTGGATAGGTAGTTTGTTTCTTTGAAAATGCCATTAAAAAGATTTTATTCAAGTCATATAAGATTTGCTTTGGAATGGATGGGACAACTTATAAGTTTTATAGTACTTTTACACAAATCTTAGATGACAATGACCCATAAACCAATCTTCTCTTTAATAAACCTTCACTATATATGATGGCAAGTATAAAATTGTACAATTTTCAAAACTAATACGAGGTACACTACTTAGCATATTAAACTTTACTTTGTATTATTTTTATGAATTAAATCAATCGGCTCCAAATGTCTCAACTTAATTCTCAAAATTTTCTTCTTCTGCATGGAATTAACTAACCAATACCACAAATGAAGTACGAAGTTATACTAGTACTTCGTAATAAACTTTTGTTTTGCTTAAACTCTTTTTTGAATGTTCAAAGTAATTAGTGAGTATTATTAGTACTCCGGATCATCTACTGAGAAATAGGAAATCATCAATTAGTGAACGCTTATAAAAGACTTATAATAATGATGGAGTAACCCCTAAAATATTGAACGAGTAACCCCTTTAACGCTGACAAAGTAACCCTTGTAAGACTGACCGGGTAACTCTTATAACACTACAAAGTATCACCCATGACTAGTCACTTTGTTGCCTGTCACATATAAGAATTTGTGTTAATCAATAACTTTATTCTAAGTGAAAGTATAAATAAATAAATAGATAGATAAATACACAAAATACGAAATATTTCTATTTTAGAAAACAAAATACGAAATAAATAAAATTACAAATAAAAGTGAGACTTGTGAGAAATTCGATTGTAATACAATTATACCGTGCGCATGGTTGGTGTCATTTCGAATATTTGAATTGGGTTTGGTGAGATAGGATCAATTTTGAATTTAAGACATGTTAATGACATAGCCAAGAATATTTCTTGACTTATGGTCTGTTCTCATACGATTATTTTCACTTCAGTGCAGTTCAGTTCAGCTCATCTCTAATAAATTCAATTCAGTTCAACTCATTTCAACTCATCTCTAATAAGCTCAATTCAGCTCAGGTTCAGCTCTAATAAGTTCAGTTCAGCTCCTAATTTTCTTCTCTTATAAAATATTCATTTCATATAGCTCTGCTCTAATAAGTTCAGTTTAGTTCAGCTCTGCTCTAATAAATTCAGCTCATTTCAGTTCAGCTCTAATAAGTTCAGTTCAGTTCATCTCTAATAAGTTCAGTTCAGTTCATCTCTAATAAGTTCAATTCAGTTCAGTTTATCTCTAATAATTTCAGTGCAATTCAGCTCATTTCAGTCGATGAGAACATACCCTTACTTGTTTGAGAGATCTCCAAATGATTATAGAAGTCAAGAAATCGTCTTATACGCCGATACCTACGATATACTATGACGTCTATGACCATCCTGTACTGTCTTCATGATTTGCTTATTTGCATCAAACAAACTAAAAAAATAAAAATCAGCCGTCCACCCTCTGCTAAAGCTGGGGAAATGAAAACGCAAAGTATTCTTTAATTAAAATTGATCTCGTGATTTTCTAAAGAAAAAAAATTGATAGTCTCGTGAGGTACGTGTATAGCTCATTATTAAACTGCGGTGTCAAGCAGTTTAGCAAAAGACAACGCTTCCACTTTATATATATTACTAGATGAAGCCCGTGCGATATACGGTTTGTTTGAATTTTTTAAAATAATATTTTTACATACATATTTATGTGCTAAAAATTGTTAAATATTTAGATAAAATTCCTGATATTAAAAGATAATATTTTATATTTAATTAATTTAAACTGGATAATCTCATTCGCTAATTTTGCTTACGTGTCAGTTAAATTATTTAATTCTAAAAGAAATTAATAATCTCGTATTTAATTGGCTACCACTAAAATTTATTATCCTACGTGGCGCGCTGAAAAAATTAAATCTTACGTGGCTCTCTAAAAACTCGTGAAAAAACTCCCCTTTATATATATATATATATATATATATATATATATATATATATATATTAAATGACTAAATTAAAGTTGATTGGTAGCTTTTCAAATGGATAAATTACAAGAATAATATCTTATTAATTCATAAATAAATGTGAATTGAACTTGTATAAGAACTTAATATTAGCCCTTATCTAAACTAATCTAAAGTTCTACTCCCTCCGTGTTTTAATAAGTGTTACAGTTTAACCAAACACACATGTCAAGACATGGCTTTAATCATTAATTTATCTAATCATATATCAATAAAATTATAGGAAAATTGATATTATAAAAGTATTACGTTATAACGAATCCAATAACCTGTTATACAATTGCAATTATTTTTTATATGTAAGTAAATTAATCAAGTCAAACTCATTATGTGAAAAGTGAAAAAGTCAAACTGTAACACTTATTAAAACACACGGATGAAGTACACATATTTAACGAAAAGAAGTGAAAACAGATAATTGTAACAACTAACTAAAGGATGAAAGTAAAGTCGTTCTTCAATTCAAGGAGTTGTGATTTTAATGGAAGCTGAAGTGATTATAGGAAATAGCGAATTTACATTAAAAGGGACATAATTATATTGTTTTTGAAACAGTTCAAAAAAATATTGTTTATGAAAATCAAGCGAAATATGATACTTACCACCTGTTCTCTTCAGTTTATTTTCAGTTCATTTCAGCTCCAATAAGTTCAGTTCAGCTCTAATATGTTTAGTTCAATTCTTAATTTCCTCTCTTATAAAATATTCAGTTCAATTCAGTTCAGCTCGAATAAGTTCAGTTCAATTCAGCGCAGTTCAGTTAATCTGAGCGGCCCTTAAAGTCGATGAAGAATATATAAATTGAAGCCACCTGAAGAGAACAGGGATATTTATTTTTAATTCATACTCCCGATTTTATCAAGTGATGATTAAATTTTTGGAGGTTTTGACTCTGACGGTAAATTACATGATGAAAACATTATTAGACACTGACACTATCATATACTCATACAGCTTAAGAGCAATCTACTGTCAAAGTCAAGATTTCAACAAGATAATATATCACTCGATATAAATTGGAGTAAACAATATTTATGAAATTAATGGATGAATAGCATTTGAGAAGTTATATGGAACTCCCTAATCACAAGGCTGAGGCTGAAAAAGCGCGCTCCATGACACCAGGAAGCCAACCTCTGAAGTACTCCTGACAATCTGCCTCAGCAGGCGAGATTCCACCCAGAGGGGTAACTGATATCTGAATAATACATGCATTATAGCAGCTATACACGAAAATAATAATAGAACATTGGAGGAATTGCTTACATATCCTTCTTGGAGAGATCGGATATCAATATCAGTATCTTGAATTGAGTGTTCTATTGCCTGTGAGTATATAAACTCCAAATGTTCAATAGATGATTTTATGGCAATAGAAGTGATTTTTTTTTCTTTCTTCTTTTTTGGTGAGAATGGCAATTTAAGTGATGAATACAAAGATGTATGCATGGACAATTAAAACTCCAAATGCTCGATAGATGATTTAAGGAATCAAAGTGAGAAATACAAAGATGTATGCATGGAAAAATAAAACTCCAAATATTAATAGATGATTTAAGGCAACAAAAGTGATGAATACAAAAGATAAATGCAAGCAACAAATCTCTGCACTACAACCTAAGAGAATTGATATAGGGGAAACAATTTTGAAAAATCTCGTGTTTGACGAAAACAACAATCGAATCGTTAATCCCAATTATGGGGTTAGCTACATGAACCAAACTTTTATCTCATGTACTTGCCAACCATTATCACCTCCTTCCATTCCATTTTGTCCAATGTTATATGCTTTTTTTATCAACTCTTTTGGGAAACCCTCTACTTTCCTTAGAGGTATGTCTTCTGATCTTCACCAGACATGCCCAAACAAACGCAATTTGTTCTGCCTTATATTATCCTCAACGTCTACAACTCCAACTTTCCTTCTACTATCTTAATTTCTAATACAAAATAAATCATAATTTCAAGAAAAAACATTGCACCCTATACTTTTTCAGGAAATAAGTAAAGTTATTTTGAAGGTAAAGTGTCACCCATGGGTAGCTTTAAATAAGGTCCCCGGAAAAAGATTGGTTTTGCAACAGCATGGCTAGCCCTAAAAGCATTTTGTAGCTTGGTTAGCAGTTCAATCTGGACTTGCTAGTAAGATTAGGCTTTTATAGCAACATAATCTAACAAATCCATCATGTGTGTTGTGTGGCTCTGCTCCTGAACCACATGAGGACCATTTTTAGGCGTATGCACTCAAATTGTCAAATGGAACTATGGAAGTAGGGTGAAGAATGGACCAGCTTAAGAGCTCTAAGCCAGTTTTTATTATTCCTAAGAAAGGTTAGTTGGAAGTGAAAGCCATTAGAAAGAAGAACAGCAAAGCTACACTATATATGTGTTTTGTTGAGGTATTCTACAATCTGTGGATTCAGATTAGAAAATGATGTTTGCTATAGATCTTTACTTGTTTCCGGATGTTGTGATGATATGTGTATTCTAGTCTTCAGCTGAGCTGTTTTATCCTCAGGAAATGAGGAATCTCCCTTTTTTGTAGAAAAGCTAAGAAATAAAGTTTTGATTGTCACTTGAAAACCTAAGAAATAAGATTTTGATTGTCACTCCTATTTTCTAACAACATTTGCAAAGAGTAAACTTAAATTGAGCATCATTTTCCAAACAAATAAATAAATAAATAAAAACTTTAGCTTCATTCATTATCAGCAAAAAATGGGAAGACGAAGATGATTATGGCCAATGTAAAAGATGGTTTCACTTTTGAAATTTGGATTCTCCCCCAATTTAGCTCAATAAGATAACCCAAAATACTCCATAAATATTCAACACATTGATCCCCTTCCTAATATTCTCTTATTTATAGTATGCTCCTAATATGACCATCCCCCCACATCAGTTCATTACAAGTTTCTTCTTTAATATTCTACACGTGATTTTCTCCGTATGAATTTAAGGTTGTCAACCACCAAATTGCTATAATTGTATGTCATCTACTAGTGACATTCTTCAAAAACCCACAAAGCTATTGAAGCAATGTAAACAGTGATATATTGAGTCAATAATCATCCATAGAGCTTGCTAACAATAAGAGAGCACTTCTGACAAAATTCTTTTCTATGTAATTCCCTTATGTGATGCTTTCAAGGAGTTTCCTATGAATATGCTAGGCGTTATTAAACAATCATTGTGTTTTGTCAATCCAACGTCTCCGGTAAGTACTATACTTGCAAAACAATGCTGTTCAAGGACCGGGTGTTTAATAAAATCTAAGGTTCCTACCATTTTCTTTAAATCTTGTGTGTTAATTTAAGGCTTTTTGTACTAGTTCCTCACAAATATCAAAGCAACCCCCCTAGAGACCCTTAAAACAATACAACTTGCCACTGGATCCACTTAAGGCTCTTTATATCGAACGACCCTTGCCACCAATAGGCAAGAGTGTCTATCAACAGCCTATCCTACCTATGTTACTTCGTGCCACAAGCCCACAAGCCATTCCAAACACTTGGCGCTTGCACCTTCGTCTACCGTGGCTAAGACTGTGCCGCACAACTCTGGTATCAAAATACTCGGACCGTGACAGCCTGTTCTCATTGACTGAACTGAGGTGAACTGAGGTGAGCTGAGCTGAACTTATTAGAGTTAAACTGAACTTATTAGAGCTGAACTGAACTGAAATAAATATTTTATAAGAGAAGGAAATTAAGAGTTGAACTTAACTTATTAGATTAGAGTAGAGCTGAAATAAACGTACCATAACAGGCCTAAGGCACTGACTTTAAGAAAACAATACAAACCCACTTAATTAATCAACCTAATAGCCACCTCCCCACCCCATTTAGCTCCTACCCTTCACCTTCTTACCAAGGTGTTATTACAATCACCACCTTAAATTAAAACCCTCCATCACTACACTGTCAAAACGACAACACCCATGATGATTTGTACCAATTTAACCACCGTCACAACGTCACCTCTTACCTAATACATAACTAGCTCCCATAACACCCAACCTCAGCCCCAATGCAAACACTCTTGATTTCTCTCCTCAACAAACCCGATACTTATCTTCCATCTACATCACCTCCCCACTCCTCCGTTTCCTATACTAACACCACCTTAACCCACCACAACCACTTAAAGATAGAGAAAGAATAAAAACATACAAATAAATAAAGCTCGGCAATTTAAATATAAAGATACAAATGAATGGGCCAAAGGGGAGCCCTACCCTAACCTTCATCCTACAACCCCTCATCCTAACCTTCTATAAAGATCATAGTGAAATTTTCACTATCCTAATCTGCTAGTTGTAACCGATGCATCAAGGGCATCCAGCAAGCAATGGATCACATACACAAGGAGCAGGGGAGGACGGGGAGAGCAGTCAGGAGGGAGAGCAGTCAGGAGTAGGAATAGTGGAGCAGCAGTGAGCAATCAAGGCAGGGCTGCTATCAAGGTAGGGCTGCTATCATATGATAGCAGCTGAACAATTTTTGTCTTTTGTCATTACCTTGTTATGGTTGCTTGTGTCTATATAAGAAATGGGAGGGAGGAGTGTGCTAGGTACCCAGATATTCATTTGAGGGTGGAGAGTAGTGACCTCAAGTCACTAAGTAAGAGTGGTGGCCTAAAGCCTCCTTGTAAGAAAGATTGCTCCTTTAATTAATGAAAATAGTTGTCTTCTTCTCTAAAATCAGTCCCTAGATGTTGCTTGTGTGTGTAGGGTTATTGTGTAGTTGTAGCAGTTCGTTACAAGTGGTATCAGAGCGGCGCTTCTGCGAATGCCGACGCCGAAAACCACCACAAATTCCGATTTTTTTTTTTTTTTTAAAAATGGTTCTTTGTGCAACATAGAGGTGCGACGCTCTGGAAGACCAAATGACCGGAGTACATGATTAACTCGAAACGATAAAAGCAACGATGAAGACTCAAGAAGAATCCCTCGAGATATCACAGGATGAGGCCATTCCGAGACTCGACGGTCGATTCGAGCTGTTCCGCCAACACCAAGACGCACAGATGACAATGAACAACACAACTTAGGCTCAGTTCTTCGAGGAGCTCCGCAACCTCGTGGCCTAGAGGAACCACGAACAGTAGGGCCAACAGCTCAATAACAGAATGCGAGGCTGGCAAGACCGAGAAGGCGGCGGCGGCGGGGGTGGTCACCGTTAAAAACCCAGGAAGCTAGAGATGCTCGTTTTCGAGGGTACCGATCCCGACGGTTGGATACTTTGAGGGGAGAAATACTTTCAGCACGAGGACCATAAATTACAAGCAGCCGTTATGGCCATGGAAGGCGATGCTTTACGGTGGTTTCAATGGGAAAACCGTAGGAGACCGGTAGAAGGATGGGAAAGCTTGAAGGTTAGGGTTCTGTGCCAATTTCGGCCGACCCACGCCGGAAAGCCTTCACGAACAATGGCTAGCAGCGAAACAAGAGACCACAGAGTATCGCAAGAAGTTCATCGAACTTTCTGCTCCATTAGAAGACATATGGACATACCTGAAACTATAATGTTAGGCCACTTCATTAATGGCCTTAAGGAGGAAATCAAGGCTGAGATTAGACTGATAAACCTCTATAATCTAGAACAAGCCATGGAAGTAGCAGGTTAGTAGGTATAAAAAACGACCCCTTGTAATTGGATCTAGCAAGTCCATAATAAGTGGGAATACAAGTAAACCTTTAATTGGGCCGGGCTTAGTAAGCACTTATAGAACACCCACCCAGCAAGCTTCAAGCTTTAAGGGATGGCCAAAACCACCCACTGAATCGCAAGGATCGGTGAAAAATTCAATATTGATGCCCTTCACTTCAATGAAATCCAGCGAGCTACGACGGTTAACGGAAGTTGGACATCAAGATAGAAAGGCGAAAGAACTATTCTTTAGGTGCAATGAGAGGTGGAGCGTTGGACACCGGTGAAAAAACAAGGAGCTGAGTGTGTTATTAATGGGGGAGGAATAGGAGTCTGGAGAAAGCTCATCGGGGCCACTTGAGACACCTACCGAGGAGGATGTTCCGATGGGAGTTTCCCTGGAAGGTGGGCCCGAAATTAGTGGTTGTAATGATAGATCCAAGGGCAACTCACAACTTCATTTCAAACGTCCTGGTTGCTGAAGTAGGCGTGCCGGTGGTAGGTGACAGAGAATTAGGAGTTTTCCTGGGAAATGGTGAATCAATTTGGGAAAAGGGCGTGTGTAGGGGAGTGCGAGTGTTGCTCAAGGGCGGCTTCATGGTGGTGGATAACTTCTTACCACTTCGACTAGGGAATGTCGACTTAATTCTAGGTAGTCAATGGTTAGTGAAGTTG